AAGATTTAGGTAACTGATCTGATTTACTTCTTAACAGGAAGTTAAAAAGCCTTTCACCATTTTATAGACTTTGTGAGAATCCCGTTTGAACCTTGTCACTGACCCTGTGCTGAAGGAATGAACACAGGGAAAACAGACGTTAGCTAATAGACAAATGTATTTCTTTTTTCTGGATGTACTATGGCGATGATAACTTTTCTCCCTAATTATCTTAAGTCTTTAGTGATAGTTTTTAAACTGAAAGTTATTGCATAATTGAAGAAGTAAGTTGCAGCATATTTTTTTCCTCACAGAAAATAGAATGAACATGGGCTTTGCAGTCAGACAGCCCTGGGCCTGAGTTGATATACATATCTGATTTTTGTCTTTAGTAAGTTATGTTAAACCTCTCTGTGAAATAGGCATGGTACCTACCTCCTAGAATTATTGAGAAGATTAAATGTGGTCATGTAGCCCTGGCTGGTTTGGCTCAGTGGTTAGAGCTTTGGCCCAAAGACTGAAGGGTCGCTGGTTTAATTCCTAGTCAAGGGCATATTCCTGGATTGCAAGTTCAATCCCCAGCTCTGGTTGGAGTTGTGCACGAGGCAACCAATTGATATTTTTCTCTTCCCCGCTCCTTTCCTTCAACTCGATCTAAAAATTAATGGAAAAATATCCTTAGGTGAGGATTAAAAAAAATGTGGCCATGTAAAAGTGCCTAGACATGTGCTTAGCACAGAGTAGGCACTAAATTTTAGTTTTCTTCTTTCAGTTCCTATTTTAAGCATTTTAAATGATAACATGAGTGAAATACTGTTCTGAGGGAATTATAGAAAAATAATTACCGATGAGCTATTGCAGCACACTGAAATACCTGACCTGGCTACCTTTTCATGGTTTTAACTTCAGAATTTACTGTAATCAGGATGATAATGGAATGTTGCATTTCTCCAGACATTGTTTACTAAGTGACAATTGCTGTGACCCTTGGAGCAGACCATGAGGGTGGCTGCACAAAGTCAGAGACTGCTTTGCAGGGCACATAACTGGGAAGCAGGCAGAGCCAGAACATGGACTCTTGCTGTAAGTTCATTACTACTCAGAGCAAAAACTTCCCATTGGAGCATCTAGACAATACCGCCTTTGAGGCAACAACATGGAATAAGCTTTAATATAAAAAGAGACTTTGGGCATATTTCAGTAAATAAATACCCTTGGTTTGGGTCCATGATGGATTTTGTCTATACCAAAGTGACCCTGTAGAGAATGGTGTTGCGATTAGATACCAAAGTGGCAGTACTGCCCTCAGATATACTTTTTTTTTTTCTTTATTGGTTTTAGAGAGAGAGGAAGGTAGAGGGAGAGAGAGAGAGAAACACCGATTGGCTGCCTCCTGCATGCCCCCACTGGGGATTGGGCCCACAACCTGGACATGTGACTGGATCAAGAATCAACTGGCGACCTCTTGGTGCATGGGTTGACGCTCAACCACTGAGCCACACCAGCCGGGCCAGATCAGATATACTTTTTGTTACATGTACACACACACACACACACACACACACACACACACTCCTGCCTTCAAAGTACTCTAGTAAACATTTAAATAAAGGGAGAAATCTTTTCATAACATACTTTTAAGCCAATTTAGAGGTCATTGAGCAGATGTCATGTAATTCTAATGTTAAATTACCCTGTGTAATAAGAAAATTATAGTACCTACATGAAGATAGTAAAGGGAAACCAGTGAATTCTAGAATTTTGAAGTGAAATGATTTCATCAAAAGTAACAGTGGCACCATATGACTTTATAAAAGAGAGTCTGATAGGAAGAAGGGCAATCACAGACCAAAGCGAAGCCTTTCTGTGTTTATACAGGGTGGGACAAAAGTCGGTTTACAGTTGTTCGTATGGAAAATAATACAGTAATTGATACTATAAGAATAAACTCTGTTTTGTGTACTCACAACTGTCAGCCTTCTTTTGCCTGATCCTGTGTATGCAAATTTTTGGTTATGATGATAAAGAGCTAATGTAATAGTATAGCTTTCAGTTGTCCAGGAAATATATTATTATTAAACTATGTGGCAAGAAATTTATTAAAATCTGACTACTCATTGAGTTGTTTCATATAAAATCACAATAGTTGTTTCTAGTTGACATATACTTCCTTTTGCTATTAGGTATACTTTCAAAGCCTAATTATTTTGAGAACATAGTATGACCAAAGAATAAAAATGTACCAAGTTGACAACTTTAAATAAGCACTAGCTTTTCTTAAAGAACAAATCTCACTTACAGTTAGGAAACAATATTTATATTTAAGGTTGAAAAGCCAGGATGTAGGAAAATTTTGCTAATTTGGAAGATGACCTTTAAGTGCACCAAAACCAAATAATTTGTAGGCTACGACATAGGGCACATTCCTACAAAATTTGTGTGAATACTGCTTTAGTGGTTCTTGAAAGACAAACAAAGAAAGCTGGAATGAAATCTCTATTCCCCTCCCAAATCAGACGGAGACTAACAAAAGGGTGCAGCAGCACTCTCTCAAAGCTTGCCATTAAAACGAGGTCTCTGTAGCACAGTTAATGAGATGGTTCATAGTGGAAAATAATCTGTTTTTAACAATGTTTAGATCAAAAGTAATTTCTAATCTATGAAATAAAGTCTCTTCAATACCCTTCATTCACCAGTAAAGCTTTTATGTTTGTATTATTTACTTCAATCAGATGTTTTCAATTTTACCTTTTCTCCTTCTACAAATGCTTGACATGGTTCGTCAATACTGACCAACAGTTTTATTCTTTTTCTTCAGAAAAGAGAGATTCTTGAAGGAGGGAGAATGAAAAAGAGAGAAACATCTCTGCCTAAACGATTTGCAAGCATCTGTGCTTTAAGCTACTTTTTATGAACACTCCTTAGTAAATGACTCAAGGTAAAAAAGCAGAAAAGCATCCAATGTTAGGAAATTGCAATCCAATACCATGTAATTTAAACCTGCAGTTGCTTCTCTTGTACTAAATGACATACAGATGGGTAGCTTAGTTCTCTCAACTTAGGGAACACAATTGGTCTTTTTGTATGAATGAACATATATTAACACAAATATTTTGGGCAGGATTGTTTAATTCTGATTGTACAGATTTTAACTATCCATGCCATTGGGAAAAATAACTTTAACCAAGATATTTTGTTGTGTTAAATTTTCAATTAATGATTTTTTGGAACAAAATCAATAAAGATGCAACCCTTCCAAAAAATAGAAACAAAAAGACAACATCTAAGATAAAGTCTATAGTGAATTGAACAGAAAGGGGCCCATCACAGTCGCCTGACTATTTAATTTAAGAAAGAGCAGTTCTGCATTTAAGCTGTGGAAAGGCTTGTCCTGACAGGACAAACATTTCTCAGGGAAACTTTTCTATCTATCCCTCGGAAAATATGAGCAGTGCCAGCAGTAGGTGTGTGGATGAAGCCTGGTGTACTCCGGGGGGTGAGAGGGAGGTCCGGCGAGATGAGACCAACACGCCATTAGTGGTAGGGCAGCTCTTCCCAGGGGTCCTGCCAGGCCTGAGGGGCCACCATGCAGCGTGTGATGTCAGGAGAGGCGCTGTTCCACACCCCACAGGCCTGCTCGGGCGCACCTTTCTGTTTCCTCCGGCCTGTTCTTTTCCTATCTCCGTATTTTCTCCTAGAGAAGCAACTTGTCTGTCTTGGTGGCCTGAATCTGGAAGCTGATACCCTTCTTTAGTCCCACCACCAGGGTAACTGGTTAGTTAGTTTTCTCCTTGTTTCATTTCAGTGAACTCATGTACTATGAACATTAGGTGCCTTCTAAGAAAATGAAGTATAAAAACATTTCTACTCCTGAATCACATTTCTTTCTTTCCAAAGGAGTTTAATATCCAGGAAACCAAGCAAGCTTTCTTTTAGCAGTGTCGAAACATGACAAGAAGCGCTTGCCGTAGGGCCGTCCGCAGGCCTCGCTCCTGTGCGGACGCACAGAGAGCCGGTTTACTGCAGCCGGGGGCCTGCTTGGTCCCGGGGTTACATTTCTTTTCACTCATTTGTGCAGGTAAAATAAAATAGTGCGTACAAACAGGTGTTGTCTGAACATTTTACTGCAGTCTGTATAGGTTGAAATAAAAGCGGCCATTGTTATTAGAATCACATTAAAATTATTTCACCGTTCAAATACACTTAATCAGTGGAGTGTTCCTAGATATACTTTGCAAAAAATAAAATGTAGGCCTCTAAACAAGATCACATTCACTGTTCCTCTTCTCTTTGGCCTTCTTCCTTCCCATTTTTATCACTGTTTCTTTCTTTGGAACTTCTTGAATCTGCATTAGTGTAAATGTCTCCTGGAGTCTATTAAATGTTCCTTGCTGCCTGTTTAACGTGGTAAGATACAGTCTTTAACGAGACATTTGTTTTTAAGAATTCTGTGGAGCCTAGTGAAGTATTTGACAGAATCACAGAGAACGACAATTCCTAGTCATGGAAAATCTATTTTTAGGATTGAAAAAAATACATAGGATGGTATTTAAATCACCCAGAGTGTACATTGAATGATAAAGGTTTCAAGCTACCCTCGACTAAGGTGCGAAATTCTTGAATAGAGAATTATTGTGTAACATAATATGCCCATCATCTTATATATACAATATAAGTAGAGCCCCACTTTTAAAACTCATCAGGAAAAAAGAATGTCAAGGTGTCAGGGACAAAAGGACATGCTACCATCTTGTGAATGCTCAGTGAGGCTCTATCACCATGTGCGGGTGGTTTAGGCGCAGCTGGTGGTCGGGGCTCCGGTGCACCCACTGCAATCTTGAGAAACTTTTTTTTTTTTTAATGGAGAGAAATAATCAGCTGCAGTTCAGGTAAATTTGTGAGTTAGGGACTGATCTGGTCATTGACAAGTGAAGCAGAAGCTGAGCCATGGCGGCCAGCCAAAGCGATTATTTAGGATTCAAGCTCAAAAGCCTCCTTCTCCATATCCTTTCTTTTTCCAGGGTCACGTAGGGATACAAAGAACTGTAAGGTGGTCTTTTCCCAGCAGGAACTGAGGAAGCGGCTAACACCCCTGCAGTACCATGTCACTCAGGAGAAAGGGACTGAAAGGTAAGGTGAACTGTAAGAAAAAGTCATTAAGCAAGAGCTAGTTTTCTTCATCCCCCCTCCCCCACGCACACTTTGAATTCTCTTCCTTGACATTTAAAGAATTCTACACTTATTTGCTAAAGACTACAAATTAGGATCCTTGAAAAGGTTTGAAAATAGTATTGTTTAGGTTAAGACCAAGTTTTATTTATTCTTTTCCCCATTTAATGAACACTATCTTATGTAAAGTCACAAGGCTTTTATTAAGGGCCTGTTTTTAGTTTACTACAAAATGTGTGGAAGTAATAGCGATTTGGGTACATTTTTTGGGAAGACATCACAGTAAGCAAGACCATGCGGGACATGGCGCTATGCCAGGATGCTGAAATTTTGAAGGTGGCCATTGTAAGTATAGACGTTTTGGCTGCAAAAAGAAGGTAGCATAATTTAGTTCCTTTCTACCCCACTCCAATTTCTTTTTGAAGCACATGTGGAGAAAGTATTTATTGGCTCATTTGTGGTTGGAATGTCAAAAATTTTCAATAACTGCCCTCACATGGCTTTGGTCCTTGGAAGTTCGCCCTAAGTCCTGAAAAAAGAGTTTGTTCACTTCCAAGACTCTTTTTAGTGAATAAAGTCTCTCTCAGCTGATTCCAGCTCAAAGGTAACTTGCCAAGATCCAACCATTTTGTTGTCTAATTTATACCATGGAGGTTGGCATAAGGCCGTAACTTACCTCTGATCCAAATTTATTAATGATGTAACTTCTTGTTTTCATTCATGAACTGAAAGAGCTCTTTACCACACATGGGGTTCTTGTTAATAGGCAACACTCTCTTCCTGTCACAGTGGATACTATTTACTGGATTTACCAAGTGTGGAATCTCTGACAAAGTCCACCCTCACTACACAATGAGCTAGCCGTAGACCTCAGTCTCAGCCCAGGAGGACTTGTACCCGTCCTGTTGTGTACATGACTAGCAAAATGATTTAATGCACACAAACAACTAGAGATTAGGTCATTCTTAAAAATTCTGTTTATAAAAAAATTGGACCTCATAAAGAGGGTGAAAGGATAATAAAAACAAGCTGCAGAGCACATAGACTTTTTGTTGGGCTAGCACAGCTGATTTGTATTAGCTGAATGACCTCCTAGCCTTTAAGATTGTTAACTTAGAAAAATATTCCCTTAAAGCTGCAATATTCCTTTTCAAACCAAAAAATAAGACTCCTTCCACTTGAAGTCTTTGGATCCTTCTGCATTTTCTGGGATACACTCTTGGACACTGTAGAGTAGCAGAAATCTTATGTAATACTGTTGTTGTTTTCTGTGAATCTGAATTACAGGCTTTTTTTTTTTTTTTTTAAACAGGATTTTTTTTTCTTCTATGCATTACGTAACTACATGGCTTAATTTTTTTATTTAACCTGCACTAGTTTGGAGTAGTTATATGCACATTTTATTATATAGATTTGAAATATATTAGTAATGTTCAGATTTCCATATGTTTGGTCTGTTCTCATTATAGGACAAAAAGCCCTGGAAAGATTTATTAGAGAAATATATTTTAAGCAAATACATTCTGTAAGAAATAATCCTAACTTTACTTAATTTTTGAAATGCTTCATTTATTGTTTATCAGTGCCTTCAAAGGAGAATACACACATCACAGAGATCCTGGAATATATAAATGTGTTGTTTGTGGAACTCCGTTGTTCAAGTAAGTATGTTAAAAACTTGTGGATATGGACAGATGGCAACAAACTAGTTATTGCTTGCTCATATTAGAATCTTTACATTACTAAGTGTTCTTATTTCAGGTTCCCTCCCACAAAACAAAAGTAATTGATTTGCAGTATTTGTATCTTTCAAATACCCAACATTAACTTGTTCATCACAATAAACATGGATAGTGCTTAATAGATTTTGTTGAGCATAAAAATATTTCTGTATTTATTGACATTTCTATCAGCAAGTGATGGCCCAAAATTTATTTATTGGACCATAATCGAAGTTCTCCATGTGTATCCTTCAGATTGAATAATATCCACCAAGTTGATGATTCATACTTCTGCAATGAAGGGCAATACGTACATTTAAAGTAACATGGGAATTATAACAGATACTTGTACTTATATAAGCAAACTACATAATAACGACTTTAACAGTTTTGCGTTGGTCCAAATCTTTATTTTAAAGATCTCAGTAGTTTACTATAAAACAGGCAGTGCATAGACTTTTTCACCAAAATATTTGATTCAGACAATGTATTTTGGAGATAATGAATCTTATTCAAGAAAGGAAAATTTTACCAAAAACTTATTTATGTAGGTGGAAAAAATTCTAGAAGCTCTGTATTTCCCATGGGGATGCTAATTTGGGGGAATAAAAAGACAGAAACCTTAACTGAGAGTAGATGTCATGTATTTAAAACAGAATTACAAATTTCTTAGGGGAAATGAACAAACAAGAATCTAATACATGTAGCATGTAAAACATCGTATTTCTCCGTAAATACTTCCCTTTTAAAACACTAACATTTACAGATTTTTTTAGAAATAACAGGAAACAGTAGTTTCCTTCAAAAAATTTTTCTCGTTTAAAACCCTTCTTAGCTTGTGTAAACCTTTTTGCACATTAGTATTGGTTGAGAATCTGTTCTGATTTCTTAAGTATTAATTCTTCATGTTATAAACCCAGCCCTTCAAATTGTCACCCATTTTCTCTCAGAAAACACACATCCTTATATTTCAACACCTTTAGCATGTGTCATAGTAGTTGATATAACACTTAAGGTAGTTGCTGAGCCATGTTAAACTTAATATACCAAATGGTAAAAATTGGCCACATCATCCCTTTGCTTTTTGTTTAAGATTCTCCACCTCTTTTCTTACCATGTGATTCAATAAAGTAAAGGATCTGAGGAAAACTACTGTTTTAAATAAGAAGCAGAACCACTGTGAGTGTAGGATTTAATCCATGTGCAATTTCGAGTCACAAAAACTAAAAGCAAGACCCTTATGCAAATGTAGGTACTGGCGGGGGTCAGGGAGTTTCAAATTTGAGGTGATACTGCCTTTGCTTCCTTTAAACTTCTTGTAAGGAAAGCTTTTACTTTCTAGGTTTTTATGGGCTATCGTTTAATATTGTTATTCTACTTTTTAAAAATTGTCCTTACTTGGTTTCCTGTCAGTGTTGTGGAGGAAATACCCCTGCTTTAGCCTCTACTGGAGAATGGTAGTTCATTGAGTTGGTGTACTATCTTCATACTGGAGAATTTTCCAGGGACCACAGGGCATGGACAGTTTTGAGGGAGTCAATTTTCTGGTCCTCAATTTCTATATGTACACTTTCCTGAAACTGATGTGCCTGAGAGAGTCTGTGGTTGGTCACTTCTTCCTTCCTATCTCCTTCATCGTAATCACCCTTCTCCCACTTCACAAAAGATGTCCTGTCTTTTACCCATCCCAAATCTTACTATGATATATTGTCCTAGGGTAAAATCTCTAAGGCATAAAGCAAAACAACAGCATTACTTCTGAAGGACAGACCCATGAAAGAAGGCAAAAAATATTGAATTGGAAAAAATTATCACAGTATTATTTCATTTCCGCAAGTCTCCGCCTGCCTGTTGTGTGCTTATTTATCTACCTATTGGCTATTCATTGTCTACTGGTCTAAGTAAGGGAGATGGTTGCTAAGAGAACATGCATCAACATATTTACATATTTATTCAAAGTGAAGAAATGGGAGTCTTTTTTGGGACAGATAATAAGCCCGATTTGGCTGATAGATATGACATAGGACTGCCTTAGCAAATCAGGTTATGTGGTGGCCTTCTCCATTTATTAAATGATCTGAGTACATAGCTCTAAGATTTTGAAAATAGTTTAAGCATGTAATTTATATATAGAACACCAGGAAATTCATCGTTTTCAATTATTTAAATTTTTGAAAAGATATTTTAGTTGTTACTTTAAAATATATGAGGAAGTATGTATCAGTCAGCACCAGTCTGGATACAGAAACCACATAGTAACTGAACAGGAAGGTTGTTTTTTGTTGGTTTGTTTTTTATCCTCACCCAAGGACACTTTTCTTCAGACAGAGCGGGAGGGAGAGAGGGAGGAAGAGAAAGAGAGAAACATCACTGTGAGAGAGAGACACTGACTGGCTGCCACCCACAGGACCCCAACCGGGGCCGGGGACAAACTGAAGCAGAGTTATGCACCCTTAGCGGGAACCAAACTCGGGACTCTCTGGTCCGAGTGCCGATGCTCTAACCACTGAGCAAAGTGGCCAGGGCCAGGAAAGTTTAATATAAGGAATTATTACCTATAACAGAGGATTGTGGTAATGAGGGATAGTCTAATAAGAAGTAAATAGAACATTTAAAAAATACAGAAATAGCAATTATAAGAAGTAATCATAACCCCTAGGCTGAGGTACAGCCCCAAAAAAGTTTCCCTGCAACACTGCCCCTCCCCTTCCCAGGGCTGAGCTCTAGACTGCTGGGGAGGGTGTGGTTGCAGCTTACCAAACAGTGGAGAAGCTGCTGTAGTGTCTCAGTAACGCAACTTTCCTGAAATCTGCCTTCTGGAATTTGCTGGAAATCCACCCTCTAGGGTAGTGATTCTCCACCTTTTTCATCTCATGGCGCACACAAACTAATTACTAAAATTCTGTGGCACACTAGAAAATATTTTATTTTGCTGACCTGACCAAAAAATAGGTATAATTTTGATTAATTCGCAACGGACGGCTATTGTTGTGTTGGCTGTTGTCATTGTTTTATTTGACAATCTAAGGGAAAAGTGGTCAGTGCCCTGCCTGCATGGTCAAGTCCTGCACGTCTGAAAACTGCTGCCGGAGCTGCGGTGGGCAGAGCTGGGCCGGCGCATCAGTGGCATCTCTATCAAACGCCTTCAGGTCGTTGGTTTCATACTTTGAACACAGATTGTAGGAAACACTTGGGTTGTGTGTATGTGTGTGAAAACATGCGGAATTTTGTTAGCAAGGAGTGAAGGAAAAATAGGCAGAAAAGACTAAATAGCAGAACAATATGAGAAGTGACAGTGGGAAGGAAACGGGAAATAAAAAGAAAAAAAAAAAGCGCTGAATTTGAAAATGCCTAGTCATTAGCAATATGAAAAGGTTATTTTTCCAACTGCCATTTCTGTTATTCACACTCATTGTGTGTGTGTGTGTGTGTGTGTGTGTATTCACATGTTTGTATAATCCTCTTCGTTTACTTGACTGATATATGTAATACTTCCTTATAAAAAAGCCCATTCAATTATTCTTATTTCATTTTCATACTTTACCCTAAATACATTCCCACTCAACAATATACTGCTTTCTTACTGCTTCCCAAGTACAAGAACCTTATTCACAGACTGCATATAGACCAAATGTGTAATTTATTCCATGGTTCACATTTTCTTCACATTCACAAATTCTACCAAGCTAGTTTATTTCTCATATAGTACTACTGACGTTCAGTTAGTAAATTAACTGACAGAAGTAAGAATGCTCTCCCCTCTGGTTATTTGAACTTCTAAAATGTCACAAAATGAATTTATTGCACATCAGATAAACCAGAGAAGACTTTGGTGAAATAATTTTATTCAAAAAGTCTATATGACCACTTATATTTTGCTCTGGCTGACATTTTGCCAGGTGTTGTGAAACAGATCTATGAACTCTTCTCCTTAAGGTACTTACTTAGAGTTTTGTCGGAGTGATAAGAGAACACAATAAACAATTATAAATATGGGAAGATCGTACGTATTAGCATCTACCCAACTGTGCCTGTTTAAAATGCTTTCATGTATCATAGGAGGGCATATGACTGCATCCCAGCAGGGCCAGGTTTATGGAGGAAGTGAGACCACATTTCACCAGGCAGAGAGAAGGATTTAGTTTTTCCTAGGTAGGGATGCCTGATAGAGCACGCCATATAAGAGGAGGAATTGGAGATAGGATCAGAAGTGGGTTTTTGAAGGGAATAGTTGGGAGACAGGACCAGTAGGAGGGGGGAGATGAGTTATGTTGGGAGTAGTGGGAGAAATGGCTGGAGGGCTAAAGCGCACCCATTAAGGAAGCCCTTGGATACCACAAAAGACATTTCAGTTCCTACTTGAAGTATTTGGCACCTTCCTCCAGGAAGCCCTGTCCAAGCCCTGCAGGTGATCTTGGTGGTTCCTCATCCTTGCGCCCGCAGTGCCTTGTGTGCACCTCCGTCATTGCACATTCGGCTCGGTGCTGGAACTCTCTGCTTCTGGCCCATCTGCCCGCTAGGAAGTGAGCTCCGCGGTGGCAAGGCCATGTCGGAGTCACATGCGTGTCTCTAATCCCTGCCATGGCATGCTCAATGAATACTTGTTTGTCGATCAGATGCATGTCTAAATATTGTCGGACAGATTATGGAAAAATTTTAAATAAGACAATAGCATGAAGTTGGGAAGTAAGCCATAAGTGTACAAGATAGATTTCTGGGGGTGAAAAGAGAAGGAAATAGGGGTGTAGCAGCTTCAGGGGGATTTTTTTTCTTTGTTAGCTGATAAACCTTAATATTATCTGGTATTGTCCTTGTGTAATCCACTCCTGATAAATTCGTTTAAGACTTTGTGCTCTGGCTGGTTTGGCTCAGCAGTTGGAGCATTGGCCAGCGGATCAAAGGGTCACGGGTTCAATTCCAGTCAAGGGCATGTGCCTTGG